CAATTTACTCATTTCAACAATAATTATAAAAATCTTTTTTCAATTAAAAAATATTTAAATTATAATAATATTATATTTCAATGACTTACACCTTGATAATATCTCGACTGTAAAGCTGGACCATTATTTAAAGTATGATATTCAGGATCTGTATTGCCAGTTATTCCTGGAGCTTTGAGGCCTAAAGCAAAAATGATAAGATTGCTGACATAACGTAGAATGAATAGTGCCATTTCAATCTGGTCTGTTAATCTGTAAATAGCACACACATATATAAAAAACATTCCCCCAAATGTTGTAAATACATGCTCCATTAATGTAAAAATATATATATATAAAGAAAATACATTATTATGAAACTTACGTATTTAAATGAAACCACCATTCAAGTTTTCCAATATTAACAAACACAAGATTTTCTGAAACAAATGCCAAAGTCCAAAAGCCTAATAATACAAGACCATGTCCCCTTGGTGGCACACTTGGTAATAATTTATGTCTTTCAATTTTTAATATATATATTGAATATGGATATACAATTAATGTTAATATTGTTGTAAGTATCTAAAAAAATATTGAAATAATTTATATTCTAAGATTTTATTATGCATAAAAATTAAAGAAAGTTTCTTACCATATAACCATATATTTTAGTATCATTTAAAATTGTTCCTTGTAAAATTATTCTTATTATACTCAGTATTGGAACAAAATAAAGAAAAAATTTTTGCACAATATATAATTATTTTTAGGCAATAAAGTTGTAGCAGTTTCTGTTCCATATTTTTTATATATCCAAAGTTGAATTGTTCCAAAAATTAATAAATATGATGAAATAATAGTGATACTGATAGTATCCATAAAACATTTGGACATTCCATGCTCTATCCAAATATCAGTGAAAGTAATATTTGGAGGACAATAAGACATTGTTATATTCATCTTTAATTGTCCAAAATTTTAATGTACCTCTAAAAAATCATAAAAATAATTCTTTAATAATAAAATTTTTTGTCTATTTCTTTATTGATCATATTATTGGTTATATTATCTTTTTTATGTTAATATGATTAAATAGTTAATAAGATAAAAAATAATTCTAAGAAATTCATCAATTAAAATATTTGAAAAACTATATAATATATAAGCTATTATAAATTATATATTTTTATATAAAATATATATAATATATTTATATAAAATAAAAAATCATTTTATTTTATTATTAATTATTATCTGTACATATAAATACCTGTGGATATTTAAAAAATATTTAAAAAATTATATTTTGAAAATATTTTATCATAATGTGATTATATAAGTCTTATTGCACTATTGATTAAAAACATCTAAATTTCATTATATAAAATATAAATATTCATTATAATGAAATATAAAATTCATTAAAATAAATTGAAATTTCATAAAAAAATATGAAAAACATTTATAAATCAATATTTAATTTTGAAAATTTATATTTTTATTGGAATTATTTATTATTTTTAAGTAAAAAAAAATATGTATAAAATTAATATTGATAGATTTAAAAATATATTATAGATAAAAATAATATAATTTCAAATAAAAGAATTTGTTTCTTTAAAAATTATAAATTCATTTATATTATTAACATAACATATTAAAAAGAGAAAATATAACATTTTTTTATAGGAAAAAAATTAATAGTCATGTTACTATTATTGCAAAATTTTAATGATAAACATTGAAAAATTAAATTAAATACCTCTTTTTTAGAAGAAATCTGCTATGTCATGATATACAAACGTAGAGAATCGAATTAATGATTTGAAAAACCAATATGCAAATATTTTTAAATTGATTTAACGTAATGTAGTATAGAGATTAATGAAAAAGTTTATAGTAATACTGATATACGTGTATATAAAATATCAATTTTTAATCTAAAGATCTTTCTTACAGACATTTGCAAATTATTCTCTAAATAGATAAAAGAAATTTACATTGTTACCGACGTCAGAGTGAAGAAATACACGTTTACATCCACTTTAAATTATTATACATGAAAACACATGACTACTTATCTGTTGTCTATACCTCGTGGATATATAATCATGGATGAGATACAATACAGATTGTCGTTATAAATAAGATCTAATCAAAAATATATTGTATTATAAAACTTTATATATATTTTGAAATTTATATTTTAATATAATTAGATTTAAATCAAAAACTCATAAAAATATATGTAATTTAGATTGATAAAAAATATTTATATAAATTATTATTTTTATTATTAAAGAAAATTATTTCATCAAACTCTAAATTTATTTTTAAAATAAAAAAAAAATTTGATCTCATTTTTCAATTTATTGAATTTATTCGGATTATTATGATTTGTATTTTAAAACATGAAATATGATATTTTATGAGATGATAAATTATATATATTACTTGCCATTTTAAAAATAGTATATTTTCCATCTTATTCGATATCTTATATTTTTAATCACATTATTACATATTAAGGAATAAATAATAAAATCTATATATATTTTTATATAATATCATTTTGTATTAAAAAAAATTAATATCTATAAAAATTAATAAATTATATTAGCATTAATAACTATTAGTATTATAACCTAAAATTAAAATAAAGATATATATATATATATATATATAACATTTTTTTAATGTAAATTTAATAGGAACATATTATTATAATATATAATTATTATAATCATAATTTAATAAGCATGGGCAAGAATCATAAACATTTAAAACGCCTAAAATCTGAAAAGGCAAAAATAAAATTAAAAATAATGAAGACAAAACATCTACCAAAAGGATTAAATGTTACAGATACATCATTTAAAATTAAAAAAATTTTAATACAAGAACAATTTAAACAATATGATGAGATGGAAATACTTAGTAAGAGAAAACTCAATGTCAAGGTATTGTATATTTATAATTTTTTCTTTAAAATTGATTAATAATTGATGTTAATTAAAGTTTTTTTTAGGATTTGTTATTACGTTTACAACATCATAATTCAACAGTTCGACAAGATGCTGTAAAGGAATTAAAAGAAATTTTATCAGAACATACTATAAAATTATTAAATTCACAATTTGGATCTCTCTTGCAAGGCATTTGTGCCTTGTCTCTTGATAAAGAGAGAGATATAAGACGTAATTCTTTGAAAGTTTTGAGTCTAATCCTTGGTCCAATTTCTAATGATCAGCTTAATCCATATTGTGATGTATTGATTTCTTACTTAATATGTGCTATGACACATATAGATTCTCATATTAAAGAAGATGCTTTACTTTTTTTGGATGTGCTTGTACAAAATTGTAATAATATTTTGGCAAAAAATAGTTATAAAATATTGCCAAATTTTTTAGACATGATTTCTAAATTGCATACAGAAATGAAACCTGGAAGACAATTAGTAACAACTTTAAATTCCAAGAATACTAATATTAAATGGCGGATAAAAGTATTGGAGAGACTTGCTACTATGTTTAATTCTATTGTTACTTACTTTAAATTTCAACAGACTATTAGTTTAAATGAAAATATAAAAATTATAAATGTGAATAAAAATATTAGATATGTTCCTATTTATATGAAAACAAATATTCAGAATTATGAAATTGATTTTGAGAAATTTAACAATTTGGAAAAAAATAATATTGATAACAGTTTGAATGCAGATAAACTTATAAAATATGTAGAATTATTAATGCCACTTATACTTGAGAGTTGGATTGAAGTATGTCCAAATGATAAAAATGTAGAGAATTCTACATTTTTAATTTCTATGGAGGCATTAGAATTATTAAAAAGTATAGTAGAAATAATACAATTAATAATTGAATGCATAGATATTTTGCATACAGAATGTGATGTAAATATGAAATTTTGGTTTAAAAATAATTTTGAGAATTCTTATACGAAAAATTTATTTTTGAAATTTCCATATAATAAATTAAATGCAGTTGGAAATTTTCTTTCTTCATTAAGAAATAAAAAACGTCAACAAGATTTTTCTATAGATGAATCATATGATGCTTGTTTAGGATATAATTTAGGAATTTGTCAAATTTATGTATGGTTTACATCCATACAGAGAGATGATAAAATTATGTCTAAATTAAATAAAAATTATTGTATATCTGTTATTAAATATTTAAATGGTAAATGTAATAAAATTAATTTTTGAGATTACTAATTAAGTAATTAATTATTAAACAATATATATATTAATTGCTTTTTCTTTTCCAGAAAAACTTGAAAATTGGTCTGATACAAATAATATTGCATTACCACAATTGATTAAGCTTTTAAGAATGTTATTTTTAAAAGCAAGTAAAATTTGGTATAAAAATCATTTTGATTTGAGTAAAAGCTTACAATTAGTTATAAATATATGTTGTAATCAATTTAAAAATGAAATGCAATTACAATTATTTTCTGTCATTAGTGACATAATGTTAGATCATACTTTACATGAATTGCATAGGTAATTGATATTGTAATTTTATTCTGTCTTTTTTTTATTTTTTTATAATAATGTTTGTATTACAGAGAAAATGCATTTAAAAAATTTATCTCAACTTTGCCAAATTTTTTGTTAAAACCAAAAATACATGAAAATACAATACAAATAATAAATAAGATTGTGCTTCGTTATAAAGATTGTATTCAGAATGAGCTTGTAATAAATTATAAAGATATTATAGGTAAATATATTCATAAAAAACATTTATAAAAATATATTTATAATTGTATATAAATTTATGAATAATGTAATTATTTTTTATATTACAGAAAATGCTAAAAAAATTGAAATCATTGGATCTAAAGATGATAAAAAATCTCGTCTTATGATATGTAATTTGTTTTATTTCATGAATACCCAAATTTTCTATTGAGCAAAAAATAAATATACACGTATATAATAAATACATTTTATGTATATTGTATTAAAATTTTTTATGAAAAAAAAAAATATTTTATGATATTAATAAATTACTGAATATCGTTATACTACATACTTATATAATTATTATACATATAAAAACATACAATAATTATGTATATAAATAAATGTTATTTTGCATATGATTATTTTGAATTTCAAAAATATTTTATGTAAATACTTATGTAAATATATTATTAGTATTGAAAATTTATAATAGCAAATATATTTCTAAAGTAAGATTTAAAATCTAGTTATCATATTTGTATTTTGTGGTAATTCATCATCTACATATGTATAATTATCAAATGCATATAAGTCATTATTTTTTTTAGATGATTCTATTGTTTCATTATTGCTTTTTAAATTCTTTTTTGTTTTATTAACATAAAGTTGCTCTTCTGTATATGTTACATTCATGATATTTTCTACACTCGGTGTTAATGGTAACGTTGGTAATTCTTTACTAAGTATCGGCCAACTTAAATCATGCTTTAATTCGTGTTCTATTCTTAAATATTCTTTTTTAGACTTTTCAAGTTTATAAAATTTCGATTTCAATTTTCTCTCAATTAAATATTCTATGACAAATGATTCAACGAAAAGACAAATTACAAAGTTCGTAAAAGCGAGTACTAAAATAATAATTCTCCAGTCGAACATTGGAGGTACAAGTAATTGAAGTAAATTTATTATCCAATTTGCAGGATAAATTGTGATATAACTGCAAATGATAGTTAATATAATTATGGAAAACGTGAATGCAATATTTGTATAAATTTCTTTGCGATATGGTTTTCCACGTGAAAATATTATAGCCATTGTTATGTATTGAAACATAGAAACACAATAAACTGAATAATTTTCATAACACATATATCCAATTTTTTCATCATAAATAAATGGTGTAAACCATGGAAAAGTGCGTACTATATGATAAGCGATACTTTGAAAAATTGTCATTATCAACATATGTATAGACAAAGAAAAGATCGATGTAAAACTTAATAGACTAGTCATAGGAGGTTTTTTTACTAATTGCTTTTCATATGCTTGAGTTTTTCCAAAAAAAAAAGCAAAGTTAACGATGAGACAAATATCGATAAAGAGAAATTCTAAATCTGTCAAATTTGAATCGATAGAATAAAGAATAATGACGGATAAAAATTCTGTCAAAGAATAAGTGACCATAAATTTGAATATTCCAAATGATGTAACCAGAGCAGCACGACCTTCCCTTATCACCTTTGGAACACAGGTTATATCCGGTATTTTGGATGTAAAAGGACTGGCGACACTAAAAATTATATATTTATATTTATATTTAATATTTAATTAAAATGTTGAAGCATTAAAATAAATTAAATAGAATATATCAATAAAAATTTAATTAATTTTTTAAATAGAAAATTGTTTTTTTTCCAGAAACTTTCTATAATTATATAATAATTATATAATAATTTAAAAATAAAGTGAAAAATATAAATAAGTTAAATTTCTAGAAATTTATGATATAAAAATCATATGTTAAATTATTAAAAAAAATGAAAATTAAATACTCGAAACTATTATATTATATTATACAAAAACAAAGAAATAATATTCTTTAATACCTAGATTCTGCTTCGGATAAAGATATACCCGCATGTGCAGCTCTCAAAGCACCGCAATCATTAGCACCATCTCCACACATCGCTATAATATTTATCATGAAATATTTTGAAATGAATATTGACGGAATAATGAGATTAATGCATAATAATTAAATATTAAATATTGATCCATACCCACATAATAACCGAGTTGCATCAATTCCAGAACTAATTGTTGTTTTTGATCGCTTGTCATTCGTGCAAATATTGCACCACGGACACAAATTTTTGGCACAATATCCGGATAATGTTCACGCAATAATTGCCATGATTGGCCTGTCAATGCGAAACGATAATTAATACTATTTATATTTTTTTCTATATCTTTCAATTCTGATATATTGAATTTTTTATCATGAAGATTCTGAAAAAATAAAATAACCACTGTTTTTATTATTCTTGAAAATATTAAATTTTTTAATTTTCAAAGGAATTGAAGATTACCATTTTTGGCGAAATTTCTTGAGCATTAAAGTAAATTTCAGGTTGTAATTTATTTTCCTCCATAACTACAGTTACATCTATCACAAATTCTTGCATTGATAAAATACCACATTCTTTTGCAACACTTACTGCAGTTTGAATATTATCTCCTACAATATTATGAAAAATAAATAAATTATTTCGTTATCTAACAACTAATAGTTTTCTGGTAAATGTATTTTAGCACACTAATGTTGCTAAACTCTAATTACCTGTAATCATCAAAACATGTATGTTAGCTGTTCTTAACTCTTTAATAACTGGTATAGTTGGTATTTTTAATCTGTTTTCCATAATAACTAAACCTAAAAATTCGAGATTCTGTTCGACTGCATCCCGAGATAATTTCATTATCTATAGAAACAGAGAAAATGTTATTAAAAATTAATATGTATAAAATAAAAATTTATAAAATAAATATTAAAATTATCATTTTTACTTTATTACTATTTTCGGATAATTCTGTTCGTCCCATAGCTATTACTCGATAACCTTGTTCCGTGTAATATTTTAAACAAATCATTATGTCTTTCGGGATAGTTTCGGGTTTGCTTAAACTAAATATTATTTCAGGTGATCCTTTTGTGTAAGCTTTGTATGTATCTGAACCTAGAATGCGTATTATTACAGACATCCTTTGAAGAGAGCTTGAGAATTGATATTGTTGTACTATTCCGATTTCTGATATTTCATTCATATTTTGCGTAAAATTATTATTTTTCGGTGGTTTTAAAATTGTAGACGCTATGAAATCATATTTATGCGAATGTTCATTATCGAACTCTTCTAATATCCATCCGGTACTTTCAAACATCTAAAGGAAACAATAAATAGTTACTTTTTCTTTTCTTAAATTTAAAAAAAATTTTTTCAATTTAACACACAATGATAGTAAAATCTACCTTAACATCTAAAGGATCGCCACAAAGTTCACCATCAATTAATGTTAAACTATGACAAACTAACATTCCTTCAAAAAGAGGATGATCATTTAATTTAGGAATAGTTCTTTCTGATTCACCAAGAATCCCATTTGTACAAGGCACAATACCCCACATATCTAAACCATCTTCTGTTAGAGTGCCAGTCTATAATAACGTATAGATAAAAGATATAATATTCTTAGGAATGATTATAAGAATATGAATTATATATAAAGTACATTCTCACCTTATCAAAACATACGCAATTTATGCTGCCAGATACATTAATAACTCTATTGTTAATACAATATATTTGCGCTCGTTTTAGTCGTACTTGAGCGTATAATTTTCCCACCGTCATTGCGGCTGGCAATGCTGGTGGAATTACTATTGTTATTATATCCAAGGCTTTTATCGCTATATCTCCGGCTGTAATTCCCCTGGAAACCTAGAAAAAAGAACAGAAATATAATATTTTATTTACATTAAATTGTTAAATTAAAATATAAAATGCACTTTGGTCACAATAGTATAGATGAAACCGCATGTTGCAATAAATGCTAATATGCCAATAAATTTGTAAGAATCTTGATCAAACTTAAAATCTGCCGGAGGTGGATACAAAATGGCCGCAACTAGAGAACCTTTATTGGTATGAAATCCTGTTCGAATAACTCGAGCTAGAACTGGATGATCGCCGTAACTTCTAACAACGAAAATATCAATAATTTAGAATTCTTAACGTTTGTTAAGCAATTATACAATTATATTTTCAAATATAATAATACCTGGTTTGGATAATAGTGGTACCACTATACATTGTATGATGGGAACATTCTTTAGAATCATACAAAATGTGACGAGATGGCAATGGAGTTTTCGTCACTGGTACAGATTCTCCTAAAATTATATTCAATGAAAAAAATACGAGTAAATATATAAAAATATACAAAAAAATATCAAATTGCTGTTCAATTATACCGGTTAGCATTGATTCGTTTAAAATGCATTGTCCTGTTAATAATACGGCATCACAAACAACAATAGCTTGATGTTTGGATAATTCTATGATATCACCCGGTACTAATTCACTACTGGGTATGTTTTCTACTACTTTAGAATTTCTATACACGCGAACAGTTTCTGTTGATGCTACTGTACCACGAAGATTAATTTGATTCTGTAAAATGTTTCTTATTTTAATGTGAATAGAGATTTCAAAGAAATCTTGGAGAATTATATTCACGCTTTGAGCCTTGGGCATTTAAATACTTACAATAGACAGAAATTCTAGTAAATGTCTAAGAGAAGACTACCTTGTTCTGGTATATGTTATAGAACAAATATAGCGAGGTTGTAAGAATTAGAAAGTGAATAACGTCCTTCAGTTTTCTGTAATTGTTCACATGTTAACATTAAACTTCTATCTAGTAAAATATGATTTCATAAAATAATTTTATTTTATAGATTTTCGACAATTATTTTGATTTGTAGAAGCAATATTTTGATATTTTAAAATAATATTATTTTAAAATAATATTTTAAAAAATTTTTTATTGTAATATTTGAGGTGTATTTAAATAGATCCTGGCTCGAAACGTTGATACAGAATATCAAATAATATTTTTACCTTACGAGTTTGTATTATAGAACTTATAATTCCAAATAATGACATACATATGATCGCTGCAGTATAATACAAATAGCCTTCTGCAAACCATACGCAAAGAGTGAAAACTTGAAAAATGTAAAATGGATTTAAAACTTCTAACAAAAGTAATACGCCTATGCTTTGCACAGGAACGACGATTTCATTGCTTCCGTATACAATTCGTCTAGAAAAAACATAGAAAAAATAATATAAATTAAGATAATATAATCATTAATTTTGAAAA